AAATCTGAAAATTTTATTTTTAATAGGCATATTTCAATCCAACAACTTATCATCTTAATGACTTTCTTAGATTTAATGCATGACTCTTCATTCTTCCACACCAGATTGGTTGCATGAGCATCGAGAAATGTAAATATTAATGAATCGCTTGTTTACGAGGAATTACTAGTAGCATATTTAAATGGATGATAAGTAGAATCACTTATCCTTGGTCTGTGTGTCAAGATGAAGTATGACTATCAAAAGTAGATGGAGGGAGTATTTAGTATAATTTGCTTTGCCATGCTTAGACACTTTAGTGTCATTTATGTGGGAATAATTAATGCTTCCCTCATGATTAATGATGATTAATTAGTGATATCTCGTGACGATTGGTAGTGCTGATTGGTAGTGCTTGGTTTATTAACTTGACAAATAAAATTTTACTAATGGTGAGTTGTGAGCACATAGTGTGTTGGACGTCCTCATGACAACTAAGGACTAGTTTACGAGCTAGTGTTGTGAAGCATTAACCATATTAACCACGAGCAAGAATAGGCAACGACTTAGATCTGTAGTATAATATGACCAACGACAGATGCCACGGTATGTTGTGTTTTTATCGTGGCAGACAACTAAGTCCACAGGTGATAGGTGATAGACAATTAAGTCCACTGTTTGGGCATTAGGTAGTCTCCCTGTTAGGGAACTGGCCATCCCTACCGGAGACAGATGCTTAGTGGGTGTCATTCGGTTGGGCATGTTATGCAAATGGTCTTGTCAAAGTTTTCCCCTTTGCAATACCATGGCGGTATTTCGGGGCATGGCAACATGTGTAGAATTAGTGTTTTGTGGGTAAATTTGTACACCTCTGGCCAAAATAAAACTATTCGAATTGCTGCGCCCACGGTCATGGGTGGGCCTAGCAATGTTTTTTGTGATTAGTACCGCACTATTCATTAATAATAATAATTGGTGATTATAATTTGTTAGCTACTGTTATGGAGTTTAGATCTGTGCAACTGGGGTTAGTTGTTCAGAGATGGTTAGGCCTGTGCAGCATTGGTGTACTTCAGTGTTGATTAATATTGATGATTAATTACTCTAATGTTTTACTACTCTCAAATATTTGCTAAATACTACTTTTGCAAATGAACCCTTTATTATGCCATCCTTTGTTATTCCTGTGCACTTGCATATTTGTGTGGCTTGCTGAGTATTTCATGTGCTCACTCTTGCAATAATAAATAAACCTCAGTTGAAGAAAGTAGCGAAGCAAAAAACATTTGGCTTATACCTCACTTAAGCTGCCTATGGGAGTGTAGCTGAAGCCATCTCTAGATCATCTGTCCGGTGCTGTTTTCTTTTCTTTTGTAAGTATTTAACGATATTATATTGATGAATTTGTTTATTAAATTATTGATTTGTGTACCTCGGTTGATTCTTTGACGAGAATTGTATGTGTAAATTAGTTCGGACGTGACAATTAAAGAAGAAGAGATTGAGGGATTCCATTCCCGCGATAAATTTGGAAGAGGAGGCAATGAGGAAGCCGAATCGAGCGGACAAGGCGGTGGTGTGGCGCACGGGCACGGGAGGGAGGCCGGCTGGAGGTTAGGGCCGTCAGTGTAGCATGGGGAACGTGAAGTAGACTTTTGTTTCTTTCTTGGGCCGGTTGAAGGAGGGAGGACAACGGACTTGCTCCGAGGGATGAGGAGGGGCTGCTGGCTCGAGCTGGGCCGACGGGGAGAGATGGAAGGAAATGGGCCCAACTCGGCCAAGACTGGGAAGAGGATTTATTACCTTTTTAACTTAAATAATTACTGAAATGTTGTTTGTATTATTAAAATTAGTAACTGAGCTATAAAAATCCGAAAAATTTTTAGAGAGTATAGTTCATCAAGGAGAATTTAACAAAAATTAAATCAGACCATGTTTTACTTAGGAAATTTTATTTCCCAAATTTAACTTCAGTTGTAAATAATGAAATTTAATGAAAATTCTAGGAATAATTTATATGTCCTTAAAACGAAAATCAAGGTGTGACAGATTTACCCCCTTACCAGGAATCTCGTCCAGAGATTTGGAACAACTAGAAAGAAAAGGGCATATGTAAACTGCATTCTATCTTATTTCATTACTCTAATAATTATTCTAAGGCCAAAAGGAAGCTACTGCTGCTTTGGAACTGATGGCTGAGTTTTATCACTTGAAGACGCAATTGGCACGACATTGGCTCCTATGACGACAATGTTGTTGACTTGACCTTGTGACATCTGATGCTTCAGCTTCGAACACTCTCTTACAAAGTGACTTGACTCATAACAGTTGAAACACACCAACTGCTTCCTTCCATTACCGTTGTCTTCTTGAGGCTAATTTGGCTAAGCTGGTATTGATTGAGGAGTTTGCTCGTTGCTGACTTCATTGCCCGCATTATTCTCTGAGTTGATCTCACCACCATTCTTGAACTATTGCGACTATTCTTGAGAGGTAGAACTTGATTCCTCAATTTGGAGTGGCTTGATACGTTGCCTCTGGCTACTACCCTGTGCTTCCTTTGAAACCAACATTCCCCTCTTGCAGCTATCCACCAGTGATCAGCATATATAGTCATCGGAAATCAACGCATATATAGTCATCGGAAATCAACTTAACTGACATCTTATCATTTAGTCCCTCCAAGAACTTCTCCGATCTTTCTTCATCAGTACGCACATCTTTTGGAGCATAACATGCTAGACAGCTAAACTCGTGAAGATAATACTCTCTCACAGTGTGATCCTTTTGTTTTAGTGTCCTAAACTCGCACTTCTTCAAAGCAACAACTCCTGCAGGTATGTATGTCTTCTTGAATCCTTTAGTGAAGTCAGTCAAGTTGATTGGTTGTTCTTCTACTCTGTTCATTCGGAAGTGATCCCATCATTCTAAAGTAGGTCCATGCAACTGATGCGAAGCAAAAATGACTTTCTCCTGATCCGTGCACTGGAGCAGTCCCAACTTCTTCTCGATAGCATGCAACTAGTCACTAGCTTCAATAAGGTTGGTAGTGCTAGAGAATGTAGGTGGCCTCACACAAAGAAATTCAGCTAACTTTTTCTGGGGCGGAGGATTGTTGTTACCTTGGTCAAACTGGTTATCCATCTGCTACATCATCATGTTCATGAGCTGAGTCTATTGAGCCAAGACTTGTGTGATGGTTGGGTTCTCATCGTTGTTATTATTTCCACTTTCCACTGGCGCGAGTGTTCACCATCTGTTGTAGATTTGGAGAGGGTAGAAGGAGAGGGGTTACACTAAAGATAAGACCTTAACCATGTTTCCACTGGTCTGATGTGTGTAAAATATTATATTGTTCAAGTTGATTAAGCAAACAACCTAGTACAGTTACACGCTCGTCAATGATGAAAATGCTACCATACCTACACACAACCAAGCAACAAATGTTATACTCTTGCAAAAGAGTGGTTTAGATTCTAAGGTAGTATCCAAAACTTCATTCCATCTCGAAAGCTCGATACTTCAGTTCTTCAGTTCAACCACATCTTCTTGTTCCACGATACACTTGACTTGACTTTGGCATCTTCAAGTTTCTCCAGAAAGCTTAACAACTATTCAAGTTGAAGGAGGAAGGGGAGATTGATAAAATGATTTGCAAAGAATTATGGAGAAGGAAGAAAGGGAAAATTTTCACAAATAAAGTTTTCGGAAAATTTGTCATTATGGTTTGACCATTTGGCTTATCCTACAGTCAAGATGACTCTAATACCAACTTGACACGCTCGGAAATTACTAGTAAATTTACAAGCGTGACGATTCTGGTTCGTGAATTTCTGGGTGTGACATACTATAGGGGAGGACGGCGGGAAGGCAACAACAAACGACAACGGATGAGGAGGCTCGGTGCTGGAGGGCAGGTGCTGTAGAGAGAGATGGCTTGGAGGGATGGCGGCAGCTGTGACGGATGGTGCATGAGGAGGATGGTGGCCGCCTGCCCCATCGACCTAGTCTCTGGAAGGGGGTAGGCAGCAAGGGGGCTCTCAACAGCGGGGCTGCTCTTTGCCGTTGCAGCAGAGGGGGCGGCAACGGTGGGCTCGCGGCACTGCTGCTCCTACTCCTCACTGTTGCGTAAGAGAGGAGGAGGCGACGAGGGGAGTATTTGGCCAGCTATTGGCAAGTGGCTGTGGCTAACCAAATTTAGCCAGCCGGGAGGAATATTTGTGTTGGCAACTTTTTTGACAAGTCGACAAGCACGATCGCAACACCTAAACGCCTTGCGGTGATATGGAGTCGCCAACCACCTCGATCTAGCCAAAGGGCCAAATCAAGATGGGTTTTGCAAAAAGAAAAGCTAAACCAGCTAGCGGAGCCGATTTAGAGATCAAAATCAGCCTCTAGGCCGATTTAGATTGATATGAGGATAACTACCCGTCTCGTGGGCACAACGGAAGGTTTTCAGGACAAACCTACAAAGAGGTACCGCACTCTCGTAGCGGCGGCAGACGGTTTACGGCGCAAACCGACAAAGATGGACTAAAACTAAGGTAAAATAGAAAACATAGTAAAAGAACGATTCAAATAGATTGTATTCGGGGGTTTTACAATGGACCGGCCTTGTCCCTTAAATAGGGGTTGGTCTTGCTCTCTACAGGCCCTTCTCTACATCCAACTCGGGATAGAAACCAAAGAAAACACAAAACCTGCCTTCCCGAGTAAGGAAACCCGTCACTTTCCAAACTTTAACAATTTTCCCCTATTTCGTCCATAGGTGCCAAATTTAGGTGTAAACAATTTGGTCAGCCATATAGTCTAGCTAGCTGGATGGAGATGTTGTTGAAGGCTAATTTTTTCCTTCGCTAGATAAAATTTGGCTTGGAGAGCCCCTTAGGAAATGCTCTTATAAATATTATGCACGTGCTAACTAACTTAGGCGTCAACGTCAACGTGCACGTTGATTTTCTAGTATATAGTCTGGTTGAAAACTGAGTTGGTATAGCTAGAGATAAAAATGCAAATGAGTATGACAATTTTCAATCGAAGTTGCGTGTCAATTATTTATTTTTGGGTCGGACGTTCCGGGACAAAGGAAGAGTCAAACTGCAAATTAAGCTGGAATTTACAAAGACACGATGGTACATTTATTGAATCACACAATGGCGGGCGTACGACGACGACGATTCATGTTGACGGCCCTGCCGGTCGTGAGGTGACCAAATTAAGAACCGATGGATTATCCGGTCCCACGAAACAGTGACTTGAGCTTCCTGATCTCCAGGTCGTCCAGCACGGTGACCTTGCTCAGGACATCGGTTGGGAGGTTGTTGGCGAAGAGCGCGAAGTCCATGATCTGCAGGCCGGGGTTGGAGCTGCTGTAGAAGGAGACCGCCATGGCCGCCGTCGCGTTGTTGCCGTCGCCGCCGCCACCGTTGTCGTTGATCTGGAAGTGCAGGAGGCCCTGCGGGAACACCATGAGGTCGCCCTTGCGGAGCGTGCTGGTGTACACCTTGTTGGATGTAGAGCTGATGAATCCGGCGGACAGGGTCCCCTCAACGACGTAGATGAGCTCGGTGCCGCTCGGGTGGGAGTGCAGCGGCACGATGCCGCCGGGGGAGAAGTCGACACGTGCGGCGGAGATGTCGAGCCCGTTCACGCCGGGAAACCTGGTTTGCACTTTCGATTTCGGTCAAAAATTTCGGTAACATTTTGAATTTTACAAAATTTTAGTACTTTTAACTAAATCTTAACAAATTTTGATCAATTTAAAAAAACTAAAAAATTCCGATGAGATAATCATTAGGATAGGGGGAGGAGCCAGGTGTCCTAATTTACGATAATTTCGAGCCGAAATTGTAATCATTTACCTAGTGGAGAAGGCCGAGGACAGGGCGATGTTGAAGGGGTTGACGGTCGGGCCGGTGGTGACTAGGCCGCGGTAGCAGAAGTCTTCGGCGGTGACGGTGGCCTCGGGCTTGCACGGGTAGCCGGCCGGCGTGTCGCCGCGGGCCAGGTCGCCGACGCAGAAGTCCTGGTTCAGGGCCAGGGAGCCGGAGGACATGATCAGGGAGAGCAAGGGCAGGAGCAGCAGCATGGCGTTGCCCATGGTTTGTGACTTGTGAGCATGCAATGCCATTGTACGCAGTGTCTAGTGTCGTACTTATAAGAGAGTGCAAAGTACCGACGGATGACCGTCTAAACCAGTACTCCCTCCGTTCTATTTTAAACGTAGTCATGAGTTTACGTATTCAATTTTGATTGTCCGTCTTATATAATTTTTTTTTAAAAAAATAAAAAATAGAAGCCATGCATAAATTACTATTCATATTTTTATCATCTAATAACAATAAAAATACTAATCATAAAAAAATTAAATAAAACGAACTATTAAAGTTGGACACGAAAACTCATGACGGCTTAAATGGGACAATGGGACAGAGATGACTACGTTTAAAATGGGATGGATGTGGTAGCTTAGTAGTCCAATTCATCACACACGTACAATTCTATATACAAATAAGTTTCATGTACTGAACTACATATTTAATCCAACTTGAAATTGATTAAGTGATCCTCTAGCTTCTTGGAGAAGTCAACAAACAGGGTAGGTAAACGACTAATCCAATTTGAAAATGATTTAGTGACGTAGTACTCTATCTTTCTCTGGCGAAGTTAACACTGCTAAAAAAACATTTTTGTAAGCCGTCGATAACTCGTATCCGCATGTGTTCTTCGAACCACCTGCGACTAAGGGATGGCGCGCAGAAATCGAGATTTTCTTGCACATGCGCATTTCCATGGAAAATATCAAATATAGACAAACCCTATAATCAGTTGTATTATATTGTATTGCATTGACTACAGAGAGAAGATAAAAACTGGTGTAAAATATATGCTAGAATAGATTTATCTCTATGATTATACCTTGTATCCATGGTTCGTGTTTGACTCTAACTCTAACTACACATATATGCACTTTTAACGATCTCCTTCTATTGTAATGGGAGCGAAGAGAACGAATATGTTTCCATGAGAATTCTATATGCAAATAAGTTTGGCAACATTTATTATAGGACATTAAAAAACGTGTAATCAGCTTGAAGACATTGCAAGAACACATATCTGTTGTGGGACATCGTAAAAAACTGGTAGTTAGCTACTGAGCACATGCAATATTATTTTATTATAACTAGAGCAAATGAAGAGAGAAATAGTCATGAAAGTATGATTTTGCCCTTATTTGCCATGTGTGTCTCGCATATAGCACTGACGTCGTGGTGGCCAAGACATGAACCAGGAGGTGGTCCACGTTGCGCTCGCCTGCAAGTGTGGTGTGTGGCAGAGCATGAGCGCCAACGTGGCCCTCGCGCTGAAGTAGCGACGAGTGTGGGAATGATGCGTAGTCCGTGCCTAGGTGTGCATACTCCCTCCCCCCCCTCCCCCACACCTGAAACACCAGAGAGTCGCCTAGCCGGCGACGGCGACTGGGGGTGCAGTTGCTATATGCGAGTAGGGCTTGGCAGGCAAGGATAAAATCATACTTTTGTAACTGTTTCTCTCTCATTTTTCTTAGATATTATAAAATAATGTCATGGGTGTCCAGCAGGCTAATTACCAGTTTTTTCGGTGTCCCACAGCATGTACGCGTTCTTGCGGTGTACCTCAGCTAATTATATATTTTTTGGATGTCTCATAGCAAATTTTGCCAATAAGCTTCATCACACATATACAATTCTATATGCATATAAGTTTGATGTACTGAACAACTTATATAATCCAACTAGAAATTTATTAAGTGATCCTCTAGATTCCTGGGGAAGTTAACAAGCTACCTTAGTGTTCCATGGAATCGTGATTGTTCCCTTCAGGGGCAGGCCCAGGATTTTAAGATTGGGTATTCGAAATGGAAAGGGGGTAAAAAAATTTTTTTACAACATGAGCACAATATTTGGTACGTATAATCAACAATATGGCGACAAAACTCGATCCGGTTTCTGAACGAACACGCTACTTAGCCCCGCAAATCGCAGCACCACGTCTCATCTGGTTATCAACCGTGCCGAAACCCGGTTAATCTCGCCGAGAAGGCTAATCCCTACATGCGAATCGAAGAACACAAGCAAGAACGAGATAGATTGCAACACAATTGCATATGAATGATTAAGCACTCGAATTTGGGGTTCCACAAACCGATCTAGCGGCGATACTATTCTTGACAGATTAATCTAAGCAAAAACCGACTTAAAACGATGACGACTACTGAACAAATATAATTAGGGATGTCCTAGGGTTGCCCTAGGGCGCACACCCCCTTGGGCTAAGTCCATGACACAATTACAAGGCCCAAAACCCAAATCAGATTCGGACTGGATGAAATACGTGGCTTATTTTGCAGATTCCCGGCAGCTCGGTAGGAATTTTAACACGGGACCAAAACCATATGAAAGTAGACTCCATAAGCTTTCTAACAAGTACTCATAGGCACCGAAAATCCTTCTAGATCAGCGGTTAGGTCCATTTGAAGTTGATGCTATCAGGAGGCCCGAATCCGAATGCAAAACGTGTAAAACTTTATCTCTTGTCTTCTATAGACCAAAAGTGACATGGTGAGATGGAAGTAGACTTGGAGAAGGTCTTAGTTTGGTCCCCAATCAACTTCTTTGATCATCCATGCATTCGTTACGCTCGGTCTCTTTTCCTTCACCAAAGCAAGTATCTCTGTAAACAAAAAAAACACACGAAACTCATTGTGTAGCAATGTTTGTTCAAATATATAACAAGTAAATCCAATATAGAACATATGCACATTTGGTTGAGTAATACATAAGATAGTCAAGGTTATATCCGAGCTAGTTGTGTCCTCATCATGAAGGACGAAAATCGGATTTGGTGTAAAGTTAAGGGACCTCAAATGAATTTATTCCACATATAAATGCAGAAAAAAAAGCCCAAGGCCTAGCGGCATAGTCTGACTCACCAGCACACAAATCCATCGGGCATGCACGTGCGCTTGTAGGGTACTTCACTAGTTTTCTCTGTTTCTCATCTCCAGTCTCGTACTTTCCTGTTGGCCATTTGGCGGCGTGGCACGGCGCATGCGAATTTACTTTCTCTGGATGATTCATATTCATGAAATGTGAAAACAAATAAGTTCAAAGGAGGACCTAGGCTCTTGTGAATTTAAAGACTTAAAGTTGAACTGCGATTCAAAGTGAGCGTTCGTTTTTCTCCCTTGTACGNGAAGGATTAAAAACTTGAAGACTGTATNCAAGGTGCATAAAGGATTAGTAACGTCATTGAGAGAAATTTTCTTTAAGATTAGACATGAATGAATGATGATGCGTGCAAGCAATTTCTAAGCTACAAAAACCATCTTATAAACATAATTTCTTTTCATTGTTTGTCTTATGTAAGACATGACCTACACTATCTATTCCATACTTGGGGGTAAACTAAGATCTTTTACCCTATTTGTGTACTTGTGTGTATGAGTGACTCTGATTCGGCTCTTGAGGATTGTGTGGGCACACCCACGACAAAATACCTAGGTCCGCCACTTGGTGGTGAGATCGAGCTGCATATTGATGAGATGGATGTCGAGACACAGTGGAAGATTTATCGATCTGCAACAACTCCAACAAGAATCGACGGGCTGCAAATTGTTGAACGGTGAAAATGCTGATGTCATTGATGCTTTCTTGGCTAACAATAGTGATGATGTGCTGATGAAGTGTACAACGGTGAGGTGGTAATGGCAATAGTAATAGCAACATGCTTTGTTCTTGGCTCCTGTTAGCTCTCCAGTAATCAAATCACATATTGTTCATTGAACAGCTTGCCACACTTTTTTTCCATTAAATAGTCTCGACGTCTAGTAGTGTCTATCACAATAAACCGTCTGTCAGATAAAATAAAATCTGATCTGACAATAGAGAATGAGATGAGGGTAGTGTTATCACAATGTTGCTAGAAGCCGAGAACCATGATGTAAAAAACCACATGGAGTATTGTGGGAGCGGAAAAATAGACAAAAATGATAGAAAAATTAAGTAGACACGTCTACTCTAGTTTCTACATGATATGGCAATCTCGTACATCACCGCCGGACCCTTGTGTATTGCTTAATTTGTACGTTCAGATTGCTTGGTAGCATTCTGCATTGGTAAGTTAGCTCTTTGCTGCATAAATTGATATCGAGTTCTTCCAGAGATGGTGGGAGGCCCTCTTCTGGCAACCTTGTGATGCGAGTACAATGCCAAATCTCCAACCTCTTGAGTGAGGGAAGGCGGTGTAATCCGGCAGGAAAATCTATGAATTCGCTGCACGCAAATTTGAGCTCTTGCAGGGACGAGAGGTGCTGAAGCGCTTTCTCTTGCTCATCCAATAGTCTCTCCTCTCCGCGTCTGTGTTTTTCAAGCTCTAGGCGTTTGAGGGAGCCAAGGTACTTGAAGAACGATGTAGAAAGGATTCTGGGATCATCGATCTCTAGTCTTTCCAATCGAGGGAATAACTCATCAACCCGCCCTGGAAACCAAAGAAAAGATGGGGACAAGCTGGGGCATTTGTATACTTTCAAAAACCTGAGATTGCAGAGGGATTGCGAGACCTCTATTTTGGTGAGCTGTGAACATTCTCGAATCTCCAACTCTTCAAGTGCCCGTGCAAGCATTGCAACTGCAGACATTCCAAACTTGCGTTGTTCTGCACTAGTAATTTTTTGAGGCGGACGGGCTTCCCTATAAAACAGGGTAGCGCCGTTTGTAGGGAATAATCATGTACGCTCGCCTGGTCATCATTTTTGCCGTTATGCACAGAAGACAAGCTGAAATTGCGAGATTTGTCTGAACAACTGCAATGAATCTTCTTCAGAGAGGAGACGAGATTTAACGGAATTCGCAGGAGTCCGTCTTCAGCTGAGCTTATCGAAGCGTCACTTGGATGTCTTGACGAGGAAGCCTCAAGATCTAACAAAAGCTCTAGTTGACACTTTTCCTCCTCTCCCATCGATAGTCTCGTTACCGCCAGGCAATTTCTTAATGTCAATTCCTGTACGCCCTGCACATGTTGCAGTATCTGAGATAGCCACTTCCCCGTTATTCCACATTCTGTAATACTGACAAGTTCAAGAGATGGGCGGTCATTGCGATTTCC